GTTAACTCGGGCTGTAGAACGCGGGCCTCCTTCCCAGCGCCCCACTGAGTCTCGCCTTCTTGCTCCTCGGGGAGACTAGCCGTGGACCGCAATCCCTACCATCAAGGAGACAGGGTAACTACCCTCCTACACGGCCTTTAACCCTTCGAGGCCTATCGCTGCACATGGGAAATCCTCACTCAGAGTCCCAGCCATTAGTGTTCAACTCGATACAAAGGAAATCCATTACCTCGGAGCAGGTTAAATAATTTACGCCCAGCGCCACAGCGATCGCCTATCCATCTTCGGTCGCAGCATTCCAACGCCACTGAAGCCGGAATTCCGCTGCTCTGAACGAATAAAAACACGTCCGTTCCGTACAAGCAATCGCCGTCATTTAGGCCTGCATAAAGTTCGAGAGAGTAATAATTTTGCAGTTTCATTCCTAACACCGAAACAGATCTTCGCTCCACTTCCGGCAAAGGCATCACCTGTTCTGACACTCGTCCTTACGCCCGCAACCCCTCCCAGTCTCACTGAGGCCACTGCCAGCTATTATTATGTCAGGGACAAGACAGGCGACGTCTAATCGCACTGTTAATGACTTGCCCTTAATTAGACCCTCAGCGTGTTTGCACTGAAGCCTAAATACTTCCAAGAACTTGGCTACAGCGACGTTTGGCTATGCTGTCTAATATTGACAATTCCTTTCTTCAGCTGCTAAGTGCTCTTGCCTTAACGACGTATTTGAACACGGAATCTCTGAACGGCCACAAAGTTAGCTTAGGCCTCAAACGTAATTAAAATAATTCCTGCTCTAGAAATGACTTAAGCAGCATTTCTTCATAAAGTTGAAAAAGCACGCGCATTGAAAGCGATGAATCCGCAGTCTGGAAAAAAACTAGCAACAATATATAACATTTTCACTCTCTTTCCTCTGGAACTGAATAAATCCAAGATTTCAGAACAGTCCAAAGCTTAAGTCACGTCATTCTGTAATGAAGGAGTGGCCAATCCCGTCAATCAATCGCGTGCCATTGTTCTTCAGCGGGAGGCGTTCTTTACGAACTCCAGCCTCGAGAAACTTCTTTCCGCGTAACAGAGAGTCGTAATAACTCTCAGATGTTTAGACACACGTCACACCAAACAAAACAAGACAGTCCTATCAGCTAAACAATGTCGCTGCTTTCGACATCTAAAGGCGATTGACTTATCTTCCCCGCCAGTTACTTAGCAACACAACATTTACAGCGTACATAACTTGAAAGCATCAATTATCGCTTGAAAAACAAGTCTAATGCTCACAAAATGATGAAATGAGAACTCCGCTCGTTGAACACTGAGAAGAAACACGAAAGCTGCACTTTACTTAAGTAACAGGAGCCAGCAACAAAGGCCAGTTACTCAAAAACATTAAGATAAGTAGCGACAATGTGACCGAGCAGTCTGCAGCCAACAATAGCATTTTTCTTAATTGTTGTCATTCTCAGACAAATGTGCGGGTGTGAGGCACGCGAGGTGCCAACGGGGCCGAAGCCCTCGGTCATCGGGGAAAGATTACGCGGCAAATATCTGAGGCGGTTAACGGACACTAAAAACTATTCGTCTATTGTCGAAACATTTCTCTCTCCCCAGTTTAATTGCTTGAAGCATCCGTGATATGACTTTGCATTATACGGTTAACGACTGTCGGCATGTTTTTAAGGAATTAAGTAACACTGCCCCCCCCCCCCCCCCCCTCAT